ACTCGCCGTTCGTGTAAACGAGCGAGTTTAGTTCAGTGTATAAGTTGACAGGACGCAACGTTTGCGCGCCAAAACCTACAATTGTACTTTTATAATGAAACTCGCCACAAAGTTTGTACGATAGTGTTTACTGAATATTTATACGTTTTATTTTGAGTATTAATAATAAAATGGACGGAAGATAACAGGTATAAATTCATACAGGAGTATTTAGAACATGAATGTTTATATAAAAGTAGAAGTTCAAATTGTAAAGTTAAACCTGCTCGAGATGTTGCACTCATGAAAATTCTTAAAAACTTCTTTAACAACAACCATTAAAAACCAGAAAAAATTCTGTAGTCTTGGAACGTCATACTCCAACGAACTCTTAAACTAATTTTCTCTATGAACTAAACTCGCCACGAATACATTGTTTGAACGCTACTGCCCACTTAACCGTTTACTGTCAAGTGTACTGTAACTAAACTCGCTACTGTACATGTTGAAGTGTAAATCGATCTTTGGTCTGTAGGTTTATCTGTCTACGGAATTATGATAGTGCATATTATGGAATTTTGCATACAGGTACTCTGTGGTTTGAAGATCGAAGTAGTTTTTTTGATTTTTTATTAACAGGCTTTACGGCTCTGGGTTTTAGCCCTTCTGAGCGTTACATTTCTTTCGAAATTTTCATTTTTATATACTTTTTCTGCTTATATGCTGATGCGTCACATTGCGAAGCCCTTAAGAGATTTTGATCATAGCTCAACCAAGCGGACAGTTGATAACGACAGCCACTCAAGTTCATGAGGCGCCCAAACGATCAAAATAACTTGAGGTTTATATCGACATCAAATCACTTGTTTCGTCATTTTATCTAATAGTTCACACGCGAGGACACTTACTTCACAAAATCGCATCACTTTTATGAATCAAAATCCACTTTAAACCATTATTTAAGCGACAAAACAGGAGCGACAACCCGTCTACGGCCAAGTTTCAGCCAAAATTCGTTTTTTTTTTTTGAGTAAAATAAAGAGCATAGATTATAGTATGTATTTATCGGGATACAAATGAATAGGTAAGGGTCTGAGAAACTGAATAAAACGTTTTTATTTATTCATTATCATTAGGCAAATTAAATTTATACATATCTTTAATTAAATAGTTGTTTAAAAGTTATTAATTAGTTTGATTGTGTTCTTGTGTAAAATCGCGATTTATTTTTAGCCACTTTTGTAAAATGTAAGCCTATTAGCGTTTTGGTAGAAAGTCTGTTTCTGATGTTAGTTTTCATCAGATTGATAGCAGAAAACAGGCGCACAACATTTATACTGCTATATGACATTGTTATAAAATTTTGTGCAAATTGAGTCAATGAAGAATACATTTGAGACGAATCGCCTTTTCTCATTTTTGAAATATTCGAGAAGTTTCGTTTTACATAATCACATGAATCACAGGACAGCTCTACGGAATGCACACTTTGTCTTATTGTGTGGCGGGCTGGCGAAGCCACTATGCGTTAGTATGAAACGGAATGTTTATTGATTTTTTTCTCGAGTACTGGAAATTATGCCGTTTATCCTAATAAGTCATGCTGTTTGGCAAATTTGTAAAATTGGATAAAAGTACTCAGATTCTGGAACTGAAGATCGTAAGTTTGAAGAAAAGGCCAAAAATACGTAGATCTACGTAAAAAGACGTAGAGTTAGCGACCGTGCTCATATCTCAAATTAAAATCAAGATCAAACAGTATAGAAGTAATAACTAATAAGAGTATATTACACGCATGAGTGTTTCTAGTTAGTTTGTGGTATAGCAACTTTCCTATACAGATCAAGATTCAAGAGCAGAGAAAAATGAATATGTAGCAAGCTATTCAAGACTATACCTATTCAATCAAATTTAAGAAATATATTTTGACAGCTGTCAGATTTATTGCAGCGAGCATGCCAACCAAAAAATAAGAACGTACGATATTCAATTCTTAAAAACATCGATATCGATTATTTAGACTAGGTAATCACTTACAGTTTGATTTGAAAAATACCAAATTACATTAAAAACGGATAATTTAAAACACAAGACTATTCAGTTTCTTCGTATTTGTGTTTACTGCTTATTCCTAGAGGCACAGTTATAGAAATTTAAGATTGAAACTAGATTAAAAATAAATTTCAGTACTAATAATAATCATTTTCAGTACTGAGCTGTCGTTGTCTAGATTAATTATTATTTGATTTTCAATAATGAAGTAAAAATTAATGTCACTTTCAAAGTCATCCTTAACCAATTTTTTGTTTTTTCTCCCACTTTTGCCTAAACATCTTTTGTGACATGAGCACATGCCTCAACTAATATAGAAGAAACAGTCCAAAAGGATGAAGCCAAAACATAAAATAAGAAGACAAACACAAAATACAAAATTACGCGCAGTACGCTCCCGAAATAGGGGGAGGTTGAAATTACATAGTGGTTTTTTCAGCGCAGCCTTGAGAAAGTAAAAAAAATAAACTTGTTTTGCTCATCATTCGTGTAATTTTAGGAATTTTAAAAATAAAATTTAAATTAAACAAATAATACATTTAAAAAATGCGTGCAGCAAACACGCGACAGAAGTGAAACCTTCAAATGAAACAAAATATTAAATACAAATACTTCACGGCAAATGATTTATTTAGGTGTTGGATTTATCGTCCACAAGTCTCTCGTTAACAAAGTTGTAAAGATTGGGAGTGTATCGACGAGGGTTGCGTGCCTTATACTCAGAATGACCAAACGGTATTCGTTGAAGGGCATACAGGTTTACGCACCAACGTCGGAACGTCCCGCGATGAGGGAGTGGAGGAAATGTATGAGGATATTTCCAGAACCATACATTCCTCCAAAACTCGCTATATGGTGTTAATGGGAGATTTCAACGCAAAACTAGGCACAAGAAAGAACGGTGAGCTGAAGGTAGGGAAATTTAGGATAGAGCGACGGAACCCAAGGAGCCAGCAGCTGGCCGACTTCATGGAGAAAGAGGGACTCTTTATGATGAACTCTTTCTTCAGAAGCGGTCACACAGAAAGTGAACCTGGTCGAGCCCCGATGGTTCGACTAAAAATTAGACTGACTTCATTATGACGACTAGACGATAACTGTTCAGTTATGTCTCAATGATCGCAAGTCACTCGCCTTCGATTTGCCAACGATTTAGTCCTTATGGCAGAATCGCTGGAGGACCTAAGCACTATGCTTAATAACCTCAATGTTGTCTCGCGACGGATAGGTCTTAAGATGAACATGGACAAAACAAAGATCATGTTTAATGTCCATGTCACAACTACGCCGGTAGTTGTTGGGAGCAATATGCTCAAAGTTGTTGACGAGTACGTTTACCTGGGACAAATAGTCTGACTAGGAATGTCCAACTTCCACTGAGAGGTCAATCGACGGATTCAACTCAGCTGAGTAGCGGTCGGGAAATTATGACACATCTGGTCAGGTATACCTCAAACTCTGAAAACTAGATTGTACAACCAGTTCGTGTTGCCAGTGATGACTTACGAATCTGAGACGTGGTCCTTCACTACTGGCCGTATGAGGACGCTCAAAGTCGCTCAGCGACCTATGGAGAGGGCTATGCTCGGGGTTTCTCTGCGTGATAAACTCAGAAATGAGGATATCTGCAGTCGAACCAGAGTAATCAACATAGCCCAATGGATTAGTAAGCTGAAGTGGCAATGGGCCGGCCATATAGCTTGAAGAACCGATAACCGATGGGGAAGAAAGGTTCTCGAGTGGCAGCCTCGTACCGGTAAGCGTTGTGTAGGGCAACCCCCACTAGATGGAGTGACGACCTGGTGAGACATGCAGGAAGGCGATGGATGCAGGCGGCTCAGGACCATGCTTTATGGCATTACTTGGGGGAGGCCTGTGTTCAGCTGTGGATTTGTGAAAGGCAGTAATAATGACGATGAAATGATTTATTTAATATTATAATAGTTAAAACTACAAGTTCGGCATAAAATATAAGAAATTTTAATTTCATAGTACGTAAATGTAACAATCCTTTTAATATATATATTAGACACATAGATATTATATTTTCTTTCGAGTAAAATTATAATAGTGCGCCCTACTTCTTCACTGATACAGTCACTTTATCGAACAATTGATTGACATCCATGAAATCATAAATGTTTAATGAATTTACAGCGACAGTAGCCTAATGGCAGGGCGCGGACCGCGAACTCAAAAAAGTCGTGGGTTCGAATCCACCATTCGACTACTGGCGTGAACCACTCGTAACACAAGCAATTTAAGCTTACCATGAGTGGTTAAGGGGAATATTAGTAATGTTTATAGCATTGTTAATATTCTTTAAAAAAAGCTTTTTTTTTTCAAAAAGTTTTTTAAAACTTATTACATTATTTTACTGTCGCTGCCACGTGGCTGCCATTTCTACATGAAAACCATAGGTTATGAAAAGTGAACCGTACAGATGATTGTCCTTTTTTAACCAAATTAATATTACATGGATTCATTTATTTTATAACTTTTTTATTTAAACGAAATATTAAATCCGACCACGTTTATAAAAATCTAAAGAAGAAATTTTCGACATTGTTAATGTACTTTTAAAAGTACGGCACTGTCACTAATTTCTACAACAAGTAGATTAATTTCCCTTCGAATGTTTATACTCTTTTCGATATACCTTATATGGTACTCACTAATTACAAAAATATTTATATCAATTATACCTATTACAAAGTTGAGGTTTGGCCGTTCTTCACTGCTTGTTTATTCCATAGGCACACGTCATCTTCGTACCTTGTTGAACATAACACGTAAGCGACGCTGTTTCGGCGGCATCGACGACTTTTTTCTCGGGAGCGTTGAGCTATAAAATAAATAAATAAAATAAAAATTGTTTATTTCGGATAACTTGAAATCCATAGGAATTGTTAGTAGAGAAAAACTTACATCTATGTTAGTAATATAATATATACATTTTTATTTTTATTTTAATATTTAATTATTAAGCAGGACATGGTCCTGGAGATCATTTTTTTGATCAGTGGACAGTCCCCACTGTTGGCAATCTCACTCAGTACACTGTGGCCGCTGCCGCGCACTCTGTTTAGCAAAGATGCGGTCTTTTTTCGTATTATTGCATCAACACTATCCGCACCCGCCAGTGCAAACATCGCAGACGCGCTACAGTAGCGCGGCAGCCGCAACAGCGCCTTGAATGCCTTGTTGTATTGAGTACGTAGGGCACTATAAGTCTTTTTGGTGTAGTTGGTCCATAGACTGCAAGAATAAAATGACGCACAATATGTTTTTAAAAGCGTGATCTTGACAGCGTCAGTGCAGCGACCAAATCTATGCACCAACATATTCGCCCTGACCGTCAGTGCCCTACGTTCTCTTTCAGTGTCTTCATCGTCTTTAAGGCTGTCAGTCACAATATGTCCAAGATATTTAAAACTATAGACCCTTTCTATCGGTTCATTATAAAGCTTTATAGGTTGTACCACACTAGGACATTTACTGCCAGCCTTAAATACCATGAAATGCGACTTTTCGGTATTGTATAGTAAACCATGTGAGACAGCGAATTTTTCACAAACACCGAGTAGAGCTCTCATCGCACTAACTGAGGGTGCCAGCAGAACCATATCGTCCGCGTAGCTGATTTTGTTCACACACACCTTGCCGATATGGCAGCCGACACGCATGCTGCTGAGCTCTCGAATCAGTGCGTCCATATACAGGTTGAAGAGCCTCGGTGATGTCAGCCCCATTGCCTAACCCCGCATTCCATCCTGTACGGCTCAGAATACTCGTTCGCCCATCTCACATAGTTCACTTGGTTACTATACCAATACTTGAGTAAATTGATGTAGCCACAAGGTAAACCTACGCCTTCTAACTTACGCCATAAGATGTTGTACGAGACAAGATCGAAAGCTTTACTCAGATCTAGAAAACAGGCATACACTGGGGTGCGCCTGTCCGTGTAGTATTTGACAGTATGCTTTAAACTCATTATTGCTGTTTCTGTTGATAGACCACGCGAGAAGCCATGCTGGCCATCATGTAGCATACAGTGGTTTTCTAGAATAGAGTTAAGCATACTGTCAAATATCTTGGCTATTGTCGTTGCCAAGGTATGGTTATAGTTCGAAAGTACCAGTACGGTTTTTTACAATGGGGACAACTGAAGTCCTCATTAAGTCGGCAGGCAAGTAGGTATGCGAGACACAGACATTAAATAATAGTGCCAAAACTCTAGGTAAGTGCACACCTGTATATTTAAAGTGCTCAATACTGAGACTATCGTGACCGGGTGACTTACCTGCAACCATAGTTTTAATAACTCGTGATATCATTTTGTCACTTGCTACCATTTTGAGTTCACGCTTGGTTTCAGCATTGGACACGGGGTGTGACGACGGCCCTAAGGGTGACGTGACCATAAAATGATCCCTGAAGAAATCTGCAATTTGCTTCATGTCACTAACCCCATTTACTGCTTCAGGAAGACTAGGTCCAACGTTGAGCTTATTCGTGGATTTCCAAAACTTCTTAAAATCTTGTTTTGAATGATAAGTAGCCAATTTATCCATTTTTAGTTGATTTTGGTGGTTTTGGCACCACTTCAATCTACTCTTGAAAACACGGCGGCTGTTAACCATCTCATCATAAACAAAAACCCTGCCTCGGTCGACCATACCATACCCACATCATAAATTTTGACCTAGCCTCCCTGTGTGCCTCACCGACATGCTTATTCCACCCTATTAGCACACGTTTTTTCTTTTTACACATATTTCCTTGGTGAGTTTTGATTGCTGCACATGATAAAACCGACACTATGTTTTTATATAAATTGTCTATGACACTCCTATGACTCATATCGTCACAAAAACCATAGCTACATTTTATAAATTCTGATGGAAAATGTATTGACTTAAGATTGTTGTTACATAATTCCGTATAATGAGTTATTTGTTCATCATTTCTGCAGCCCCATTTTATTTTATTGCACGCGATTATTTTCGGAACAACCTTAGATATAACATAGTTCAACCTACATTCAATCAAGAGTGGGAAGTGGTCAGACCAGTACACATCATATAAAATCTCCATGTTATATATTAACTTATACGCTGACTCAGTGACTATACAGTGATCTAACCACCTCCCAGTCCCATGCGCGTCACTGACGTATGTAAATGAATTATAGTCTAGGGTACTCACTTCGGCACAAAACCAGTCCTGTTCCGCGTAAAAGTTTTTCAGTTCTTCATAAAACGGCCGCCCTGGGTGAGCATTATAGTCCCCCAATAGGAACACTGTCTCACATTCACTTTCTTCTACTATAGCATTTAAATAGCTTAAGCAGTCTGTTAAATCTGTTAAGTTTTCAGTGCAATCAACGGGCATATACACACTACACACTGTTAGCTTTTGATTACCGAGATCAACTTTAATGGCACAAATACGAGCACTTGAACACGGTATTACGGATACACAGGGGAACACTCTTTTTCTCCACAGCAGCGCGACCCCCCCATAGGGTCGCCCCTCCAATACTCCAGTCGTCGTGTCCACAGCAGACGTCCCGGTGCTTCCAAAATCAGCATCAATATTCTCAAGATACGACAGGTCATGCGGCAGCAGCCACGTCTCTTGAAGAGCTATTACGTCAGCTGTCTTACATAGCTGACGGACCCCCTCGACCGCTCTTTTTACAGATTTACAATTATATGTAACAAAACGGTTACAAGACATGGCTTTATCATTTCTGTCCATTATGATCTTGGTTTATTAGCCTCGGCACGTTGATTTCCGTGAGAATTGACATTAACAAAGCGTCGGAATATTATTCCTTCAGGCTACAGTTGCTCGTCGAGGAACATGTATAGTTTATGCCTTGGGACGAACATTTTAAACGCATTATAACCCCTTTCTTTGCGCTGAGATATTTTAATAAGAGATATTTTCTCATTCGTCTGTTTGTATACATACTCACTTATGGACTCTGCCTTAGTATCTTTGTGCACATTTGTAATGAATATAGGAACTTTTATATCTGCCGATTTGAAATTCGACACTTGATTTGCCAATCCCATTTTATTGCCATATTGATTTGACTTCCTTTTCTTTTTATTTGACACCGTAATCCATTCATTTACCGTTTTTACATTTTCCTCAGCAATAGACGTTTGTTGCATCGAATTATGTTTCGTAGCAATCGCACTCAGCTTATCGCCTACATCACCCGAGTGCCCCGATACCGTAAGTACGGACGTCAACGGCTGCGAGGGTGGCTCATTGCATTCACATGATACCGTGACGGCTTCCGATAATCGATTCTCACTCTTTTGCAGGTCTACCTCAACTTTCGAGCTATTCGAAGATGTTTTCTTCTCCTTATCAGGGGATTCTCCATGTTCGGTGAAATGTAAACCCATAGGGCCACTATCGATATCAGTCATTCAGCAAACACGCGCCTCTCCGTCGTCGGCTAATATTGAAGTTATTTACTGCCGATGTACTTTCCAGTATCGTATCCAACTCAATTTTGAGTTGAGTGAACTCATGTTTAGACACATACGTATCTTGTAATAACTTCAAATCACGTTGTAGTACATTCATATCTCTTAAAAGTTTTGAAGCATCCACATAATCAAAAGTAACGGGAGGTAGTTTATTTAAATTTCTTGCCACAAATATAGGGGTAATGTCTGGGTCTGTTTCCTTAAAAAGACATATGATGTCCTCCAAGTCCCTTACTAATTTGCCTTCGCCTTTCCTGATAACTCTTCGTGCTGAAGTCGAGATGGACTCAAACGGCAGCTTTTTCGCCTCTGCCACTTCTTCAACCGAGAAAGAACTGCTACATATACGTCGTATACTTTCTTCATCCATGACCTGTATTTTATTTTGAATAAAGGCCAGTACTTCAGAGATAACTACGTCGCAGTTTGAACACTTAACAGTTGTTGAAGTCATCGTTGGAAACGTATACTACACTACCTATACTGCTTCCACTACACACTAGCATATTTACACTAGCTATAATGCTTCCTATCTCATTTTCTCTCACATTAAATCTTATAAATTTATGTGTCTATCTCTTTTTACTGTCGCTTGTTCGTTTCATAGACTTTCAAATCACAACGATGCTAAAGAAGTTATAACTTCAAAAAATAATGATTCGATTATTTGAATATTTTTACAGATTATTTGAATATTTTTGCCGATTATTCACATAACAATGAATTTTAATCATCCAACCACTACGATATGGTACATAGCGACATATCATTGAAACGACGTCAAGTAAAAAAGTTGATACTGGTTAATTTTTTAATATATTGCTTTGTTTGAAAGATTCGAATTTAAATTAGTGATAAAAAACTATACACATTGTAATGAAATATAAATAATTTCATCATTCTTCGAATTTACGTAAAAGGTTATTTTAAATCATGTGAGTACGCTTGTGCAAAGTTATTGCGGAATGATTAATGTGAAACGTCAAAAGGTATTTCTTAGATTTGGTTGACTATAAATCAATGATTTCAAAAGGAAGGATAGGCTACTTTTCCATACAAGAAAAAGTAGCGCATTTGTCATAATACAAACGTCATATCATAACACGACGTAACCAGGGTCGGATTTCGTAGTATAATTATTATCCTAATGGTACCATTATTTCATAGTTTGTCGTATCGTAATAATACTAAGCCAAAATACCATAATTTTACCATAAGGTTAACTTGTATTAGTATTGGGTTCATTTACTTTTTAATATTAACCCTACGATATCGAGGATTTCTGTATTGTACAGGAATATAGCGTTTTTTTTAATAAAATCGAATTAGCTCCTTTTCTGGTCAACTAGTGCTCGATCGATGCATGTATGTTGCATCCTTGATAAAACTCTAAGCTCTAAGCAATCGATTTGAAAACAAAATTTCAAAATATTTTATGAATCAGATTTGCAGATTCAATTAAACAGATATGGTTTCTTATGTACTCTTTTTATTTTGCCCTTATTGAATATAAAATATATTAGGCACCAATATTCAAAATTTAACTTACACTAAGTTCTTTAGATAAAAATTAAACAAAAATAAAAATAAAACCGGCAAAAAACGAAACGTACAGATAAACTAGACGCGTGGCGCCAAAATCTCGACACATAGGTAAAAATGAAGGCCAGAAGCGGCCCCACAGGAAGTGGACCTGGTCGAGCCCCGACGATTCGACAAAAAATGAGATTGACTTCATTATGACGACCAGACGCCAACTGTTTAGTGACGTCTCAGTGATCGCAAGGGTGAAAACCGGCAGCGATCACCGAATGGTTAGAGGCACACTGAACCTAAACGTTAAATTGGAGAGGTCTCGTCTAATGAAGTCAACGCTCCGTCCTCCTCGTGCTCTAATCCAGTATCCCGAGAGTTTTCAGCTCGAGTTACGTAACCGCTTCCAGTGCCTAGAAGATTGCAATGCAGTGGACGATATGAATGACAAGCTTGTGGAAACTGTCCATGTGGTCGGAGCTAAGTTCTGCAAGACCCGCCGCAGAAGAACACAAAAACTCTGCGATCACACTCTTAATCTCATGGCTGTTAGACGGGAGATGAGGCTGCAATCGTCAACAGATTTGACAGCATACAGGCAACTGAACAGACAGATCTCCAAATGCGTGCGGCGAGACTTACGCAACTTTAACACTGCTCGTATTAAAGAAGCGATCGAGCGGAACCAGGGCTCCAAAGTCTTTGCCAGAAATCTGTCTGCCAGAAAGAGCCAACTGTCAAAGCAGAAGACTGAGTGTGGCAGTATCGTTTCCGGGACAGCTGAGATTTTGAGTGAGATTGAGAGGTTCTATGGGCAGCTGTACACATCATCGTTGGAGCCACACGCAAATGTGAGTAACGATCCAAGAGCAAGTCTTACCCGACAATGATATCCCGGACGTCAGTCTGAGCGAGATTAGAATGGCTCTCCAGCACCTTAAAAACGGCAGGGTCCCAGGCGAGGATGGAATTACAGCGGAGCTTCTGAAAGCGGGTGGAACACCGGTACTTGAAGTCCTTCAGAAGCTCTTCAATTCCGTCCTCCATGGTGGCACTACTCTTGAGGCGTGGAGCAGAAGTGCGGTGGTCTTGTTCTTTAAGAAAGGCGACGACGCTCTCTTGAAGAACTACAGACCGATTTCCCTTCTGAGCCGCGTCTACGTGCTGTTTTCGAGAGTCATTACGAATCGTCTCGCACGCAGACTTGACGACTTCCAGCCTCCCGAACAAGCCGCTTTCCGAAAAGGCTTCAGTACCATAGACCACATACATACCCTGCGGCAGATTGTACAGAAGACCGAAGAGTACAATCTTCCACTTTGCCTGGCGTATGTGGACTATGAGAAAGCCTTTGATTCCGTCGAAATTTGGGCGGTGCTACAGGCCCTTTAGCGGTGCCAAGTTGACTGTCGATATGTCGAAGTGCTGAAGTGTTTGTATAGTAGGGCTACGATGGCTATCCGAGTACAGAACCAGAGTTCGAAACCTATCCAAGTGCAGAGAGGTGTAAGACAGGGTGACGTTATATC